GCAATATTCATACAATCAAGTTATAGAAGTTGATGATTCATTGTGGTTACTCGTATTTTGTTCAATATAAACGTCGCAGTTTGTCAAACGGATGGTGTGTTTGTTAACTAAGCATGACATATTCCGTTATCCGTTATAACAAATACAGCGTACAGTTTTCGGAAGTTTCTTTATAAACAAGTTAGGTTATTTATTTTAAATTATAATCGCCGTCTACTTATTTATGTTGTTACAATAAAATATGCACATGTTTAGACGTTGTATAAAAGTGACACCTAACATCCACGCATTCCAACATCAATCCGAATTCCGATAGCAAAAATCTTATTTTGAAGACTCCGTATACATGCTATTAGTATTTTATTGTAATTACATTACAAAATAATGATCACATGTTGCTAGTATTACTAGACTTGCAATTGCTTTATATAAATCCGACACTAATTTTGTGTTTCGGCGGTTTTTGTGTTGTATGCTAATGATAAATGTATAACATTTATTAATGGGTTTAAGCATTGTAGGCCCGCCATCATCAGGGATTTACCTTTCAGTTTATTTTAATTTTGTCGTTGTCAACAGATCTGCTATATTTTTATACTTTTTATAAGCTATTATTGGTTTGCCTGAAAGTATTTCTTTGCATACCGCATCCTGTTTTAGTCGATCCAAATGTTTACTAATGCATTGTTTTAATTTATGAATGCATGGATTGAATTTCGTTGCCAATACTAAAGGAATTTCCTTTGTTTGTTTTTTGGCCTTTTCTGATTAAATCAGATCTATCACATGACAATGCCCCATTTATCTACTGTTCGATTTTAATCTCCTTGTATTCTCTTTTTATTAAGTTCAATCTGAACTGTAACAAAATATGCTGTAAATCATCAGCATCATTTGTTGTTCTAATGTATCTGATAACTTCGCCCTTTAATAAAACCTGCAAACACGGGTCGACTGTGACAGCTTTTACGATGTAGATAAAGGAAAGCATTTGTTGGTTTAAAGTGTGTTTCACATCCAAGATGTTTTCATTAGAAAAGCTCGTTACTTTGAAAATATTAACATCAAGAAATCTTATTCTTTAGATGAAAGTTTAGTGTGAATTTTAGGAACGGACGATTATTATTTGCTAACTCTAACAAATCCTTTATTTCCTTCATGTCGCTATGGTATATATTAATATTATATCATTACTACCTAACATAGAAAAAGATATTTGTTCTTTGTTCAAACTTAGAAAGAATTTCTTTCATAGTTTTATACATGAGTATATCACAGATTTCATGGATTTCCGGGCTTGGCACTGTTCCAATCGCGGCGCCTATTTTTGCTTATAAAACTGTCCATTAAAATCAAGCATTTTGTTCTCTAAAATTGATCTGAGGAGATAGATTAAATTATCCGTAGGTGGGCATTTGATTTTGTAATCTGATTTATCAAACAGATCATACGAAATTCTAACTGCCGATAATAATTCATTAATCGGGCAATTAGTGTACATTGATACTACATCAAAACTACACAGCCAGCAATCTGCAATAGGTTTAAACTTTACACTTAAATTGTTTCGAAATTTTCGAATGTGCATTGAAGATAATTTATACTTTGTATTAAACAGGTAATTTGCAAGGGTGTTGCAGGTTAAATGTGGTATGTTTCCAGATTTAGCTCTAAAGGGATGAATTTCATCCAAGTTACCATGATATAAGTAACGATATCTAATATTCCTGGCTAATTCATCGAAATCATGTGATAAATCTGCTTTGCCTTTTTGACTGACGGTGAATGTATGAATTCTAAACCTCTTGATAATACTAAATACTCGTCACCAGTTAATTTTCTATGCGAAAGATTAACAACCTGTTTTCTAGCTTGTGATAGAAAAAAATTAGCTTACTTTGCTGCATTGCAGCTTTATTTTACAGCCTCCGTTTTTATTTATTTCTTTTTGCATATTTCTTAAAATGTCTAGCCATTTCTGTGATTGCAGAGACTAGTATCTGAAAGACTATAATCAATGTAATATCAACAAAACAAAATGGTAGGAGGCGTGGTGTAATAGCCTAAATTGATTTTCATTGGCTCAGTTACGTAATTTTTTTATTTTAAGAGTAACAAGTACTTCAATACATATCAATTTAATGGAAAACATATATTCCAAAATGACATTATAAATAAAACAATAAAAATTATTGTTTTTCTTCACTAGGTATCAATTGTCAAGCATTAGTTATTTCAAATTAACCATAAGATATTAAATATTTATTGTTTATTCCTAATTCTGATCACGAGAAAATGCAACAATTTCTTTCGATTTATATGTCCTAATCATCAAATGTTTCGTTGTGTGCTTTGTATTTCCAAAATATTCACACGAGGAATATCCTCAGTGTTTCTCTTTTAACGTGATAAATTATCACGTATAATATATGCATTTTCTCCAGAATCTGTTTTCAACAACAAAATCTTTGAAGTACTAATGTGACAGTAACGCAAATTATGTGAATCAGAAAGGATTGACCAAAGGTGCCGTACTTCCTTTCCCGAATCAATTAGTAACTTGTTGAACTGAGTAAGCGAATTGTTTCAGTGACATTTAACATATGTTAATGTTTGACAAGCTTTTCCGTCGTAATGGCATCGCCAAAATTATTTAAAGGAACAAGGTTAATTAGTATCGAATTCCAGACAGATTAGGAGACGTCGACGATCTTTTGCTTTAAACAAAATGCACGTTTCATTTTGTTAAAGTTATTTTAAGCTAATATTGGGTAAAGAGCAACGAAAGCTATTGTCACCATATTGCATCAATTGGCATTCTTCGAAGCTACTAAAATACTTAAAATCTGTTAAACATCCACTCTGAAATACAGAGTTAAATAATGCCTGAACTGTGTACCAGCATATTCATTAATAAATGTAAGTACGTTGCAAAATTTACTATAATAATAATACTTTTCAGGTTTCTCTCCATGAACAATAATCATTAGCTAAACAATAATCAACAGCCTTAAACCTAAACCATAATACTGAATAGTGTAATATCTTAGTTTGTCTAGCTATATTTTGTGAAAATGATACACCATTATTACAGCGTGTATGTTCATAACATGACCGTTGTTTTGGGAATGAAAAAAAAAAAATCACCAAGGCTAAAATTTTCTTAAAGACATTTGCATGTCAATTCACTTAGTATACATGAACTATTAATGTTTTGTTTAATTGTAACAAGATCAATGCCTTAGTCCAGATGTTGAAATTCATGTGTAAGGAAAAATATGCTTAGACGTTTTTATGTAATGTAACAGGAAGAACTTGTGGAGGCATTCTTGTTCATACATGATGAAATACCAAAATCCAACAAATCCGTCTTTTTAAGAACTTAAGATTAGAAATGAAAGAAAATTATGGAATACACAGATAAAGGTAAATTTTGTGATAGTATTTAAAACAGTCATGTCAAATTATGTGATAACTGTATTGTATTTTAAGCTTGGTTTTCGCTTTCTACCCTTTTTCGTATGCAACCGGATGTGACGAACTATGATTTGGTGGTATTACACCTTTAAATTTGTTGATCATTCAAATGTTTTGATTCACTTCTATTTACACGTTTACAACAATTAAAATGATTTGTTTGCAACTTCCTCCAATCGATACAATTAAGCATAGATACATGGGCTTATTTCGGAAAGCAATTATTATGAAACAACGTACAATTATTTTCAATTATTTTCGTTTCTGATTGCTTTAATTTCTTTATTCGATTTTCCTCTTCTTCAGAGAACTTAAATCCTCAAAGTTAAGAACCCACGAACATGCAACGTTTGCTCAAACCATGAAAATCGATACTCGCAAAATTTTAAAACTCAAAACAACATTAATGTACTTACATGACCCGAAAAGAAATGTACCATTTCAAACAAGAATCTTTAGCAAACACGACGATATATATTATCGGATTAATAACTTCCCATTTCCAGCAATAATATACCCTCTGCATGCATATTTCAATTTTAACGTTACGCTTGTACATGTTCACATCAAACGGACTTCGCGAACAGGGATTTTTTCTTGACAAAAGACTAAACCAACAGAGTTATGATAAGAAAAACCTGATTGCTATCGTCACTACATAAGTTTTAAGGTCACCATCATGCATTGATTGACCTATACGTGTTTTGGCATATTTCTATCTTGAGCTATCTGACAATTGTTCTGGTTTGTAAATTGATAAAGTGTGTCCTATTACCCGTTGCAATTTTTTGATTGAATGAATTCATCAACAGGTGACGAATGTATAGCAGAAGACGTTTAACTTATCGACATATCTGTTTTTGCTCCTTTTGGAGTTCATGCAAATCCCTTAGTGTATGTTTTTTTCACCTATATTTTTTTTTTACTAGAATTTTTAGATTTTGAATGAAGTTTATCAACGACTTATACTTCCAACTTATCATGATTATTTTCTTTCTCTGTTCTTTTTTTTTGTTTTTTTTTTGTATAAAATAAGAAACAAAACGTTGTAAAGTTCATGCGTCCGAATCACTTTATTAAACTGACCTTCATCAGGAACACATAAAGTCAAACACTTGAAAGCCAAGCATGTATAATTACGTATAAGTTGTCGACCCCTTTCGTCGATCATATCGATGTTTGTAAAAACGGGGCGCAGTCATGAAAATACACAAAATGTTAGTATCTTATACGGAGTTCATACATTGTGTATCATTTTAACATGTTTTATTTGATTGTTTTAATAGTAACGAATAACCTTTAAGTATATATTCAATCAATTTAAGAGTTTAGATCAATTGAATGTTCGGAGGGCATTGACCTGGCAATGTATGCTCCTTTTATATTTTCTAAACATTCCTGTTGTTTTTCTGTTTACTGTCTAATTTGAAGTCTGAAAATACCATTCCTTTTGCTTCAGGCATAAAAAAAACCAAAATAGCGCAATATAATGTTTAGTTTAATAGTAATACTCGAATATTCAATCAACATATCAATGACAATCTCAGGTAAGCAGTGTTATATTCTCTGTATGGGTATAGTCTCATAGATTGCATAAATGCTTGTTTTGCTGATTCTTTGTCTCCCATTAGTTGAAAAGCAATCCCTAAGATATTGTAGGATACACCTTTTAAAGGGGAATTTTCTATAAAATAAGAAACATCTATCGTTATTTGTATATCTAGGAGACAATCTAGACTTGCTCTAGTATTTGCAAGATGATAATGACAAAGGAAACGAAGAAAATGAGAATATACCACTGATGGTATAAAATACATGCAAATCATTAATTCGAAATTTAACTCATCTGGTATTAGCATGCAGTCATGAAAAAAACACACAGTATCAACCAGCAAGGTTTTCAACAGATGAACACCATTCATCTTTCTGAATATATGAAAATTCAATAATTCATTATGTATATGAGACAAATTCATTTGCAGATGAAGTTTTTCCGGTGTGCATTTTGACAGAGAATACTGAAGGATATCAAGAGCTATGTCGTATTGTTTCCTACTGTAGAAAAACGAAGCTATCATTATCCATCCCGATGCACAATCATGATAAAGTTTTTGTAGCAAGGAAAAGAGACAAGTTTTGCACTGTTCATAACTCTGTTTGTTTCCATAGTTTATCTTCTTAGTGTCTAGCCTATGCATTCTTGACATATAATACAAGAACATGCGTTTTATCTTGTTACTTTTACTAGACAAATTTAAATGAATTCCCGTTTTCAACATATCATCTGCAAGTGTCACAAATTTATTCACAGAATGAATTCTTGAATTCAGTAATTGTTCACGACAAATGATATTTACAGATCTATGTTCGAGTAGATTTCCAAGTATTAATGCAAATAAACTAGGAATTTTACCTGAACATGCGATACATTGCCAGCCATAACTATTGAATATATAAAGTTTATTTAAAAGTATTTCACGCGATTGACCATTCATCTTATTTTCAAACAAATTGTTTTCAGGAATGAAGTAATGTGGACACATTGAGTATTCAACAAAATATATAAGTCTCCTTAAACATCTCATAAAACAAGATGTTAAGTTTTCTGGTCTCCATTCTGATAAAGGCAATTCTTCAGATACCCAAAACAGAACTGTTTTCATGTGATATGAACATAGTAACTCTTTACAACCTGAATCAATATTTATCGAGTTTTTAAGAAGGATTTTCAATAGAACATAACAAAGTAATTGTGTATGCGTAAATGTATTAATAAGAAATTTTTCACCAACGGAAAAAGACATTCTCCATTCTAGGTCTTCATTTGTAGACCCTTTAATACCTATCGGTACAAAAAGAACACCATGTTGAATAATATGCTGTTTAACAATAGATCCTGGCCATGAAGTATTGGAACGTGTAATCCATTGTTCTGCTTGAGTTACCCATGATTGGCTATGCAAACAGACTGCAAAATCCTCGAGATCATATTTGTCAGATATACATGGACCATGAATGACAAATCCTAGGTCCTCATCTAGAAATCATTTTTTGAAATACTCGCTTGAAAAGTAGTATTCGCCTTTTATTTCTCCAGACAACCCATTTATAATCTTGTTACCATTATACACTAGACGTAACTGCACGTAACCTGGCTGTGTATTTTCTGTTTCTATCATAAAATACGCGGTGTTACGATGCATTTTTATGTTTATGTCTTCACAAACGCAATATTCTTTCAGTACGCACATCACGTCTAAATCGCTACCTTGCATCGGAAGTCCTTCACCAAAACTGCCACTAGTGATTTTTGTAAAGAAATGGTTGCTTGCTAAAATGTCCCTGACGGCATTCATCATTCTTAACAATTTCACGTGATCCTCATTTCCAACAAATTTATTACACATGTACCGATACAAAGCAATAGATTCGTTTTGTGTTGTTGAATCTGTAATGATATTTAATTGAAAATAAGCAGTTTAGGATAAAAAAGAATGACGACTGTCAATTTCAATTTCATGCAAAATTCTAAAATTAGAATATGTAAGTGACAGTAAATGTTTGATCAGGTCAACCTAAAGACATCTACAACCATTTTGTTTATTGCAAGGTTAATCATTGACATATGACATGTACCAAGAATGGGATGTTTTTGTATGCTCCTTTATTAACTGGATGTTTCATTATAATTAGTTTTAGATTAAAATTGTACTTAAACTATTGTAATGACTTTTCCAAATGAGAGTTCCTTTTGAAATTATATCCTATTATTTTTAGCTCAAATAATCATTTACTTCATAACACTATTATTCAATAAGATCTTAACTATCTCGTTGATAAATGAAAACAAATATAAAATGGTATGATCATATATTATTGACAAAATTAACCATAACCGAAGTAATTTTCATGTCAGAAAAAAAAAGGATTAACCAACATCTATTAACACTTTTTTTCTATTTTACGTAATAGTAAAAGTTCAATGATAAGTTAATATTGATATTAAAAGACCTCCGAACAAAAATGGATGTTCAGATCCCCGAGCCCGAAGTCGAGGGGATTTGAACAGCCCTTTTTGTGAGGAGGTCTTTTAATGTCAATATTAACTTAATCATTGAACTTTTACTGACTTACAAACCGTCAAAAACATAAGAAAAGTACACAAAAAGCACTTGCAGAAACTTAATTCCCCTGAATTGGACGAGTCTAAAGATGTTCAACTTAATTGATAGTTAAACAGTACTCAGACTGATATGTACAATTAACAGTTACCAAATTGCAATGGAAACGTACCGATTAAATGGCAGTACATCTTTTAATTATTTATTTATTATTTTGTTAGCATCAAAATAACACCAAATGATAGTTTTACAAACTTAAGTGGTAAATTCATATTTTTGAATCCAACTTTTCGAAATAACGATTTCTTATTTAATAAATGAGGTGATCAAAACCCTATACATACCTCATTTATAACTGACCAATGAATATTCTACACAAAAACTTCTTGTTATATATAGTTGATGTTTTTAATCTGTCAGTAGTTATGAAATAGATTCGTAAAGACCAGATCTTAGAAAACAGTAAGTAAATTTTTCCGACAATTAACCTTTTAAACTGCTTGTTTCAGAATTTCTAATCGAACAGACCTAGATGTATAAGGTCCTTCACAATATTCATCCGGTAAATGTTCATTTTGTTTTTGATTCTATAATTTTCCAAAACTTCGTTTCATGCGAATGCAAAATACTTAGTGTTGTCTGTTCAGTCCAATTTATTAATAGATCTTGCTTTTTTGTTTTTTTTTTTTAAATAAAAACTATGCATGCAAACTTCATTGAATAAAATCGTATTAAAAAACCTAATTGTAACATATATAGCATCAACTAGGTTTCATTGGTCAGATCAAAACGTGTTGAGTTGAGATATTTCCGCAAGTTCAATGTATTATATTAAAACAAACTCTTTTATTCTAGTCGTCCGTTATTCCCTTTGTTTGTCTAAATGAAGCAAAAACACCTGAAAAAACTGTTACCTTTCTTAGTTTTATCCTTGCCTGACATAAAATCATATGTTATAAATCGTATTAAAACAATAAATTAGAAGCATAGTAAAAAACTATTTAAAACTATTTTATAAGCAGCCCGTAATGTAATAAATTGAAGAAAAAAAAACTACCAAAAAACATAAAAATTTAAATGGAAATTGTACATTATAGCATTTTACAAGATTTTGTCTTTGTGTGCTAGGTACATGGAACAATTTATGAAGTTGATTGATTTTTGTTTGCTTTACGTCCCGTGGCAAATATTTCATGCATGTTCATCACTATAACAAATAGATTTAAATACAATGGGTAGGTCGTGCAATGGGAGGTCAACAGTGAGGTTGGACGTGAAACTTTAAAATGCCACTGGAAAAAGAGGGTATATTGAATAAGGACAAAAATTTAGACTTGCAACAGCTGGCCACATTCGGACCACTCAAATTATTGGTGCAAGAGTTTTTAATTTGCCCAGAACGTTGATCCATGAAATCTTCTCTGAAGTCGATCATCGATGTTTACGTGTAGTTTGAAATATCATTTCACGCATCCAATTTAGGTTAGATACTTTTAGCTCGCTTTAGTAACTGTGAGAATTCTGTGAAACTGTTTTGTTTATTGTAATTGATTTTTTTGGGTATGATATTCTGTACTACCGCTCTCCTGATTGGTCTCGTGTGAGGGTGTTTGCCTCGAGAGCGGGAGGTCGTTTGTTCGAATCCCGACCGGGCCAAACAAAGACGTGAAAATTGGTATTTGCTATTTCAACACTAAACACCTGGCATCAAAGAGTAAGAGCACAGACTGGTCGGCTTTGAGTCGTAATGTGTCCGGGTCGGGTGACTTTTCTTACTGCGAACTAATATCTTGTAAAATTACACGTTAAAAAAAACGACTCAGCGTGTCAGTCTAGTAAAAAGCGGGGTTAATACTCATATCATATTTACATGTTATCGTCCAGAATATTCATTTCATTTCCCGCTGGTCGTCATCCATTATCATCATTAATTTACCGTTATATTATACAATGAAGTGTTTTTTTCTACTGGTTTATAGTACAACTTCTTAAGTTTTTACCGATCAAAACTAAAATTGGGCAGGTGAAATTTTTCAACCAAACACTTCTTGTGATTTTTGGGATACCATTGACGGTAAATAATATTAAATCATATGTGCCTTTTGGGATATATAATATTTGACGGTAAATATTATTGAATTAACTCCGTATAACTATTATTTAGTCATGGGGCGGTTTTGAGCTTTTTATTCTGTATACGCATCTTTCTATAAAAACTGAATGTTGAATCTTAATGTTTTGATTTGTCTGTGTCTTTGGGTTGCTGTCGTATTAATGTATACCTTTATATCCTTTTATTCAAAACAAAATGATCTACTTTGGTATAGAGATATTGACATATCTGGACCTCTGCCATCCCACATTGGGTGCGTTCGTTTGGCTTATCGGATATATAAACGCACAGCTTTGTCTGATCGAAATATGAATGTATTTCCGATGACTGGTGTAGTGGAAATTTTCACGCTATCTATACGTTAAAAACAGAGGGAAATACGATCTACGCACGAGTTGAATGATTGAGATTTGTAAACAACAAGAAAGATCGGCTAAATCTTTTCAAATAAGTCGCATGGCTGATTTTAACACATCTTTTTGCCATTTTTGCCAGGACAATTGTAGTTGGAATTTTTTTAACAAAACCGATTAGCAAGACAATATCTAAAAAAAATAAATGAAACGCTCAAAATAAGTTGAATCCTTATATAAATTAATGTCAACATTTTTTTTTATGCATTTTTGCTTTTATGTCAACTATTATACCAGTCTGAGATATAAATAAACTTTATACAGCAACTGTTGTCACCTAGACGAGACAGTCGTCATTGTACGCTTCAATATAAGAGTTATTGCCACTCAATGAAGATTGTTTTTCTGTTCTAATCCCCTCTCCTATTAGTTTTGCTGGAAGGATACAATGTAACCCCTGATGTGTACTACGACAACGTTTTTTAGTGTTAAAAAGAAGATTAAATGCAAAGGGAAAAATGATGGACGAAATGCTAAGATTTACGCTTAAAAATGCAAATGTAAATAAAATTGAAATATATAAAATTAGGAAAACTGTAAGAGACAATTATCAACTGAAGACAAATGATTATACATCACTATAAATGAAGCTGATAAATTAGTTGCTCCATTAATGTCCAGTGACAAATATGTCATGCATATTCACGACGAGTGGATCAACCTGAAGCAAATGATTACAATTTTAGAGTGGCACTTTTTACAATAAGGCAGAGCGTTCGAATGAGGTAAAACGTATGCCGTAATAGAATACAGTTGAACCATGGACCATGGTCGAAGTCGTAAGTTAAGCTATTAGCCCTCCTTTCCTTTTTCTTCCACGGTAGACGAATGTCAAAAACAAAATGTCATGAATTTACAATCAATAACGGCCACTATATGTAAATGAGATATATGAACGTTTTTGTAAATAAATTCCTATTGCAGCCAACATCTCTCGGTTCGACACAGATTAGTATTTCCACTAAAATATCGTTTGATTATTGACCGGAGATATTAAAGCAACCAAAAGCCTGTTGAATAAAAAAAACTCTAAAATTGTTAATTATGGTATTTTGATGGTTTTTTTCCAGATCCTATTTCGGACCCCCTGATTTTAAGAGGGCGTATCTAATTAGTCATGCCCGATTAACTTTTAGTTAATTGAACCTCAACTTAAA